CAGGCCTTTAATTAGCGCTCTGGGTCCTGGGGAGACAGGCCCCAGCTTCGGTTAACAGGAAAGCCCCCGAGCCGCTCCCTGTCCCAGGAGGTGCTGTCAGCCGTCTGCTCGCTCTCTCTGGCTGCTTGTAGCTAATTTGCTCACCACGCGTGCCCTTGGCCCTCCAGGGACTGCCAGGGACGCCCACACAGGCTCCGGCAGAATTAACGTCATATCTGTTCCCCTCCGTGACCCGGACCCGCCTGTCTCCCAGACCTGGAAGATAGCCCGTCCACACTGCGAGTCACCTTGTAGAAACAGCCCGTGGGGAGGGGCTTCCAAGCCAGCTCCGTGGGGGAAGCGGAGGTCAATGCCTGCCTGCCCCAGGGCCGCCGGCCGACCCCCACGGGCCTCCTCGGAGCCGGCCCTGCCTCTGAGCACGCCACCCTGGATTTCAGGGCAGGAAGCTCCGGCTGGCACAGACGGCAGGCCGCAGGCCCTCTGGAGAGCACAGAGGCCCCACCTGCCCGGGCACTGCCCAGGGATGCTGGAATGCAGGCCTCCCAGTCAGAGGCCAGACCCGTGGGGAGGACTCTTCTGGTGTAGGAATGTCCCAGACGTGGTCTGCAGCACCTCACATTTGTAAACGGCGTCTGTCTGAACCCCCAGTCCCTGGTCTGTATTTCATGACTGTGCCTGGCAGTGTCTTCCTCATGGCCTCATGTCCCCCTGCCCGACCCAAAGGCTGGCCCCAATGACACGGCACAGGGGGCTGCTCTTCCCACCTCCCCAAGTCACCCGGGGCCTGCCAAGCACCTGCTGAGTCTGGACCAGCAGCACCTGGCCTGGCCGGGATCCTCAGTCTGTCAGGCTCCAGCGCCAGCTGGAGATGCGGAGCCCAGTTCTGGACCTGGGCCGCTCTCCCCACCTCCTCGGGCTCAGGTCCCTCGCTGGGGAGGGGAGTGGGGCAGGAGGCCTGCTTCCTGGCAGTCATGAGGGAGCAGACAGGCATGATGCACGCCAAGGGGCCTGCGAGGACATTGGTGTGCTGGGGCTGCAGCCACCCAGGGGGGCTGGCCCTCTCTGCGTGCTGTGCTTGGCAGCGAATCTAAGTATAGCCCACGGGACCTGGAGTGGCGGCTTCCCCTTGGCCTCGTGTCCCACCCCAGGACCTTGGCACATGCTCGTTCCACTCCCAGGTTCCCTTGCAGCACGAGCTGACTGTCTCCTCCTCGTGCTTCGGCTCCCAGCCACGCCCCTCCCGTAGGGAGGCCCCAGGTCCCCCTCCCATGGCCACGACTGCCCCGTCCACTTGCATTAATGTGCCTTTCGCTGTGCCCCCACCCCCGGGGTCAGAGGCCTTGGTAACCCTGCGTCTCACGCGTGTTCACGGCAGGTCCTCCGGTGCCGTCATGTGTGGGGGCTCCCCACCTGCCCGTGCCCACCAGGGTTGCCAGGAAGCCGACGCCGCGGTGTCAGGGAGCGGGGCTCACCTGGCTTGGAGCCCTCGTCCACAGAGCCGTTGTAGACCTGGTTGAGGAACTCGGGGCGGTTGTCGTTCATGTCGATGACGTAGATGTACAGGTCAATGGGGTTCTCCACCTTGTTCCCGTTCATGTCCACCGCGTGGGCGCGCAGCTGCAGCAGACAGGGGTGTCAGCACGGCTGCCCTCGGGACGCCCTGGGAGCCGCAGTGTCGGGGGTGGGACCTAAGAGCTCTGGGCCTTGGAACAGCAGGCGCGGCCTGGGCCGTGGCCGGAGCGCACTGGGCACGCCGCGGGTCTTCCCTGAGCCTCGGCTCCCTCTTCTGAGCAGATCAACAGGACCCTGTCAGAGCCCTGAAGGCTGACGCCCCCGGCCTGCTCTCACCGGTCTGTCTGCCGCTGGTCATTTTTGCCAAATGTCTGGTGGGACAGGTGCCCTGTGATAGGAGTTCATGTCAACCCACAGTGGCTCCTGCAAAAAACATTTGTGACCATTAGGTGGCAGGGGTTTAACCTTCCACTGCTGAGGCTGACTCCGGGGAGACAGGGAGGGGACACATGGGGTGTGGTGAGGCCAGAGTTTGGACAGGCAACATGGTGGGGCTGGGTGTCCACTGCGAGTCCACTTGGGCTGGGAGCATGGTGGCCTGGGTGCCCACTGTGAGTCCACCTGTGCTGGGGACAGGGTGGCCTGGGTGCCCACTAAGAGCCCACCTGTGCTGGGGACAGAGTGGCCTGGGTGCCCACTGTGAGTCCACCTGTGCTGGGGACAGGGTGGCCTGGGTGCCCACCAGAGTGGCCTGGTTGCCCACTGTGTGTCCACCTGTGCTGGGGTCAGGGTGGCCTGGGTGCCCACTGAGAGCCCACCTGTGCTGGGGACAGGGTGGCCTGGGTGCCCACTGAGAGCCCACCTGTGCTGGGGACAGGGTGGCCTGGGTGCCCACTGCAAGTCCACCTAGGTGAGCCTCAGGCTCAGCTGCCCTGCTTGCCCTGAGCTCCGGAGCTGGGCAGGATGGAGACATGGGCAGCTGAGGATGGGCGGCTGGGGCAGGCTGGGCTAGAAGCCCCCGGGGAGGGGCTCCAGGGAGGCTCGTGGGCTGTCTGTAAGGCCGACCAGAAAGGGTCCTGCACTGGCTGGGAGGCTCCGGGGCTGCTCGGCTCCGCCCCTCAGATTTTGGGTTCGCTCACTTGCTCACATGTTCATCTGCTCACGTGCTCACTCATGTGCTCGCTCGCTCACTCGCTCACATGTTCATCTGCTCACGTGCTCACTCATGTGCTTGCTCACTCACTCGCTCACATGTTCATCTGCTCACGTGCTCCCTCACTCGTCCCGTCAGTGTGGCCGTGGGAGGGCGCCTGTGCTGGGCGGGCTGCTTGTCTTGGGATGTGTCTCTCTGCCCCGGGTCTATGTGTGTCTCTGTCTATCTCCCTCCTCACAAGGGCGGCTGAGCCCAGATCTGCAGCATGGAGGCCGACGCACGTGGATAGCAGCCCACGGTCACTGGGGAGCGAGGTGAGCATGGTGGCAGCTCTTCGGTGTGGCTGGGGAGCGTGCGCTTCCGTTGTCTGGGCAGTCCTGTGGCTGAGCACCCAGAACCTCACAGGGGCTCCTCCCAGGGCCGGCTGAAGCGCATGCCCTCAGGCCTGAGGGGTACCGGAGGGGCGAGGCAGGGCTGGGGGCACTCCGGGGCCAGGGTACAGGGGCAGCTGAGGCCTGGAGCTGGCAGCCCAGGCAAGCTCGGGGGAGTGTCCCCACCCAGCCAGACCCTGGCCCAGCTGCACCTGCTTCCCGGAGGTCGGCCCCTGCAGCAGACCTGGCTTCCAGCCATGGGCACCCTCCTGTGTGGGCGGGGAGGTGAGCACAGAGCCCAGCGTCCAGAGCCCAGGCCGCTCCCTACTCTGAGTGGCCTGTCTGCTGAGGCTGTGGGCTGGGCAGGGAGGGCAGGTGTGGAGACCGCTCTGTGGTCAGGCCCTGCTCACCAGCCAGGGGCTGGGAGGATGGTATGCAGGCCCCACGCCTGCAGGGCTCCACGCTCACAGGCCCTGGGGGGGTTTAGGTCTGCGACTCTGCTCTAGGGATTCTGCGGATGTTTGGGGTGAGGGTCCTGCATTTCGCCCTGCACTGGCCCTCCTGCCCTGAGCTGGGGCCTGGCCCACAGTGGGTCCCCTCAGCTCGCTCGGCTCCGTGGTGCAGAGCAGTGGCCAGGCGGCGGTAGGGCACTGGGGCTCTGGGGTCCGGCCCCGTGTTTAAGGAGAGGGCTGTCTTGCAGTGAAGAGATTCTTGAAGACCCAGGGAAGCGAGAGACGCCGGCTGCAGCTCCATGCCTGAGAACGTGAGGCCAGAGATTGGCCTGGGACATGGGTTCTAGGCCCAGGAACGAGCCCCCAGAAGGAGAAGCAGTGGGTAAGTTTGAAGGAGCTAGCTGAGCCCCCCCCCCGCCACAGCCAAGGACGACAGCCCCTATTTGCTCACTGCATTCGAACAAAAAGACAGATCACAAGATGGGGTAACAGTCACCCAGGCTGTGACCACCTGCTGAAGCCGCTCCATACCCGTCGGCCTGTTGCTCGGACCGCAAGATAAGACCCGCCACCTGGGCGTCTCTCAGACAGCCTCTCTTCCAGAGCCAGGAGATGGCCGTGAACCCTGTGAGTCCGAGAGGCGGCACAGTAGGCCACACTCAGTGCTGCGGCTGGGGCTGAGGCCAGGGCTTGGCAGCGTGGCGGAGGCTGAAGTCTGGCCCTGGTCCCCACATGCAGCCGAGGAGCTGAGCCTGGCATGGCGACCATGTGGCATGCCTGGCTCTGCAGGGCCCTGGTCCACTCCTGGTGTGCTTGCGTCTGTGATGGCTGGGTGAGCTGCCGTGGCCCGGGGTGAGCTGCCGCGGTCCGGGGTGAGCTGCGGTGGCCCGGGGTGAGCTGCCTGGCCCGGGGGGAGCTGCTGCGGCCCGGGGTGAGCTGCCGCAGCCTGGGGTGAGCTACCATGGCCTGCACTGCGTAGGAGAGGAGGCCGAGGCAGGAGGCGTGGCGGCTCGCTGAGCCCCGCAGGGTCTGGGACGTGCTGGTTTGACTGTGTGGTCTCCCCGGCCCGGGATGCCTCCACAGCAAGCCCTGCTCTGGACAGGATGGGAATGGCCCGTGGTCAGACCCTCGGGTGTCACTTGGCCACTGGCGCAGAGGGACTGCGAGCCAGGTCGGTGAGGCCCAGAGGAAGTGAGTGGACAGCCGAAAGCTGGGGCCCCGCAGCCGTCCCTTCTCTTCCATCTTCCTTTCCCTGCATGGACTCATTTGAGGGGCGGCGTCCGCAGCCAGAGCGACAGTGAAGAAGCAAAAAGGCCATAGGACACGCTTCCCACAAAGATGGTGGGGACACCGCCACCACACGCTCCAGAGCAAGGGCCTAGCGGGGCGCGTAGGCAGCCCCACCCCACACACTGACCGTGGGCCGGGAACGCACGTGGTCAAGGCCCTGGGTTGAGGAGCCCTGGGGTGGGGCCTGCAGCCAGCCTCCCGGGCGATTCTGATCTGGGCTGAAGCCGGGGTCTCCCTGCACAGGCCCAGACCCGAGGCCAGGCAGGAGCCTGCGTGCCAAGGGCACCCGGTGCCTGGAGAGCTGGGATCCCTGCCACCCTGGTCCCGCTGCCTCCTGCCCTCGCAGGGGTACTCACGTGGTAGGAGGCTCGCTCCTCCCTGTCCATGGGCCGGGTGACGTACATCCGGCCAGACATGGAGTCGATGCTGAAGACCTCCATGGGGGGCTGGTCGGCGCCCACACCCGTGATGCTGTACCGGATAGGGATGTCATTGTCCTTGTCGGAGCGGATCTGGAGGGGGAGCACAGCGTGAGCCTGCGGCCGCGCCGCCCCTCCAGCCCCTGCCCTTGGCCACCCCGAGGCGCAGGAGGGTGGCAGCGGAGCTCTGGAGCACGGGAGGCCGGGGCACAGGTGCAGCCTCTGAGGTGAGCGTCTGGTAGGGACACGGGACGCCTGCCGGGCCAGCGACGCCGCTATGGGGAGGGGGCTTGAAACGGCCGTGCTGGTCGGATTCCCGGCAGCCCAGGGAGGGACAAGGCGAGAAGGCGGGGCCCCAAGGGAGTCGTGTCCAGCCGGATGTGCCCCGAGTGCGGTCACAGGTGTTCAGATGCTGGAGTCCAAAGGCTGGGCCCGTCTTCCCGCTACACTGACAGACCCAGCTCACACTAGGACCTCAAGAACGGCAGGCTATGACCAAAAACGGCTGGTGGCCATCTCTGGAAACGAATGTCACACGGGAAACTGCTGTCAGCGTGGCCGAGCACAGACACTAGCAGGTGTCCAGAGGAGCTGCGAGGTGGCAAAGCGGGGTGCCCCGGCTCCCTGCCTGAGCCCCGGGAGTCAGGGAGGCAGGGACTTGGGAAGAAGCGGGAGGGCCCAGACCAGCGGGTCTGCAGCACGGGCTGGTGCCATGTTATCTTCGGCCGGTGAGCAAACGCACGAGCCTCTGGGCACAGGAAGGGCACTAGTGGGGCTGCTAATGGGAATGAGGGGCGTGTCTGAGAGGGAGGCCGGCCCGTGGCAGGGAGGCCACAGACTTGAGAGTTGTCATTGAGAGGGTGGGGCAGATTCGCATTCAACTTTGATTATACCTGTAGAAAATACTTTAAATCTTTTAAATCTATTTTTTATTAAAGAAAAGCCTTCCTTTATTCATGATAAACGTGCACATATGAGCGGGAAGCACCCGCCCCAGGGTCTGGTCATGCTACAGTCCCTCCCCCAGCCCCCAGCCCCCGGGGTCCCGGCCTCCCATGAGCCTGTGTTCCAGCCTCACCAAGCTGCGGGCTTAGCCGGGTTGCCACCTGGGGCTTCCTCCCGAGCGGCGCGTGACTGCGACACCATGGAGCGGGCCCGTTTTTGCCTTTTTAAAAAATCAAAGCCCTAGGGCCACCACAACATTTTGTGATAAAGAGGGCATGGGAAAACTCAAAACCATTCCACAGAGCAGAGCAGGCCGGGAGTTCTTATCCGAATTTTGCAGTTACAACGTAGTGAGAGGACCAGCTGGTGGGGTGGTGGCTTAGGTGGCTGAGTCTCACAGGGCTGACTGTGTGGTTCGAGTCCTGGATCTGGCAGCTTGAAAATCATGCTGGGTGCAAGTGTATGCATGCCTGCTCCCGACAAGAGGGGACACGGAGGAGAGGAGGTGGCCGTGCGGTCAGTCCCCGCGTGCCTCCCCACCTCCTCTCTCAGCATGGGGGCCTCTGGCCAACTAAAATACAGCAGTAATAATAACAAAACTCTAGCAGAGCTCTTTTAGAAATGAGAAAATCCGGATCTAGTCGTCGGGCAAGTGAGAACAACTTAGAGGCCACCAAAGACACTTGTTACACGGGGGCCATGACGGTTTAGGTGCTGGACCCCCACGGGGCCGCCTACGGTTCATGTCCCAGACCAGGCAGCCCGAAAGCACAGCGAATAAATAAGTCAAATTTAAAAAGAGATTAGGCTTAATGAAGTACTGTAATATGTGACTATTAACGAGGCTCTGAGACTGCATCGCAGCAAAGCCGTGGCCTTCACCGCTCCATCTTCAGTTCTGTACCGGGAGCTAAGGGTTCGACGCCGGGGAGGGGGCACCTCGTAAGAGAAAGGGAGGCCTCGCTGTGGTCAACACCGAGGTAATCCATGCGGGCGGATATGGACACTTCTGGATCTGAAGACACCGAAACAGAGGAACTGGTACCCCGATTCAGGGCTGTACTTCAGGGGGAATCGCCAGATTAAAAACACGTTTTCACATCTTCCTATCTATGTGTCTCGCCAACACAGCTGAAGATCTTGAAGAAACTGGCTATTTTCAGGTAAATACAGAATCCCAGATGTGACTGGAGAGCAAGCCTGGAGACCGTCTTTAGGAAACGGCTATAGGAGATCGGGGCAGCCAGCATGTCTGGAGTCACTGGACACTTCCAGAACAGAGGACAAGAGAGAGCACATCTCACGGGGTTTCCAAAGCTCCCACACCCGGCATTATCCCCAGGGCAGTGGCGAGGGGCTGCGGACCGGCCCGAGCCAGGGCGGCAGGGAGCCCGAGGTACCCCAGCACACCATGGGGTTTGGCTTGGACGCCCAAGGGCGGGTTCCTACTGGGTGGCATACTTGCCGAGACTGACAGTGACAGTGACAGGGCGGCCCCAGCGGAAGCTCGGAGATGTCGGGTGATGAGTACTTTTCAGCCCTGGCCAGTGCCCAGAAGAGCCCAGTTCCCAGGAAACTGGGCCAGACCGAGGCCTTTGTCCAGGCCAGCATGTGTGGTGGCACCCTGGAGTGACACCCATGGCTGCTGGGTGCTGTCTGGCCAGCATGAGGGGAGATGTGTCACTAACAGGAGGAAAAGCATGTGCTTTTGCACGATGTGGGGGGTGCGGGGTCAGAGAGCGTCTGGGGCTGCCCCTGAGCTGGGGGTGCAGGGTCAGTGAGCGTCTGGGGCTGCCCCTGAGCTGGGGGTGCGGGGTCAGTGAGAGTCTGGGGCTGCCCCTGAGCTGGGGGTGCAGGGTCAGAGAGCGTCTGGGGCTGCCCCTGAGCCGGGGGTGCAAGGTCAGTGAGCGTTTGGGTGCTGTGCCTGAGCTAGTCGAGGCCTCTGGCAAGCAGCCAGCGGGATGGAGGCCTGCACTCTCTGGCAGGTGTGTACACAAATACACACGTGTGCACGCCCACACAAATGCACACACATGCTCTCCGCTAGGGCACACGCGTGCACACCCACACAAATGCACACAAATGCACACACATGCTCTCCGCTAGGGCACACGCGTGCACACCCACACAAATGCACACAAATGCACACACATGCTCTCCCCTAGGGCACACGCGTGCACACCCACACAAATGCACACAAATGCACACACATGCTCTCCCCTAGGGCACATGCGTGCACACCCACGTGAATGTGCACACAGTGCATGCGGATGTCTCTGTCAGGGCCCACGCCCACGCCCAGAGGGGCTATCCCACTCTTGCCCCAGCAGCCCACTCCTAGAGGCCTCAAACAGAACGGCTAATGGCAGCCAGCGCCCTCAGGGCCGTGGATGGGCACCTGGCTTCTCCCAGCTCAGCAGCGTCTCTGCCCCCTGTAGTGACAGCCAGGCTCTGGCCTCCCACGCTCTGCCCAGCGAGACCATGCTCAGTGAGGCCTGCATGGGAAGGTCCCACTCACACGGCTGAGTGTGGGCATGCTAGCTGGCGCTGGGTGTGGATCCTGGCCTCAAACCCTGTGGGGAGGCCACCCCCCATCTCTCAGAGATAAAGACATAAACTTCAAATAACCAAAAGCCCAAATCCCAAGGCTCACTGTGTGCCCCAGTTTGGCTTCCAAGAGGGGCTGCCTCCGTCAGGGGAGGCCGGGGGCGCACGGTCTGGCTAGCGTGGGTGAGGAGGGCGCTGGCCCAGGCTCGGGCTCCAGATAGGGGCGGAGGACAGCAGCCCTGAAGTGTCACGTGCACCATGACTCCCTCCTCCAGCCAGATGACCCGTCTGTCCCTGGGAAACTTAACCAACCCCACTAAAAAGAACCCATCACATTTTGGAGAGAATATTTTGCAAAGAAATCTCACTGTGGTTTCACCACTGGCCCGTCCTGTTCCCCAGGGCCACCTGGCGGCACCATCTGCAGCCCGGCACCAGGGGCTCGTTGCCCTGGCTCACAGACGCTCCTGGCCCACACGGTTCCCGTCGGAAGGAGATTCACTGCGAGTGCACTCAGCAGGTCGGGGGCGGCGGGGGGAGCTTCCCCTTGATTTGTGTCTGAAAAGAGCGAGCAGACCTCCATGAAGTCCCGGACAGCTGTGAATAAACACAGACAGGCGTCTGGACGCACCACGGCCAAGTTTAAGTGACGTCTGCATTAAAATAGCTTATGGTCCCAGCATCAGTGTCCACCCAGGGACTTCTGCTGGGAAGGCGTGTGAGTCCCAGGAAGGTCAGGGAGATGAGGGTTCTGGGAGGAACCTCCCCCTCCACGGTGTCTTTGTCTAATTTCAGACGGATCTGAGAGCAGTGCCCACGTGTGCTTTGGAATTGCAACACCATGGGGGTTTACTCTTGGAGCGTTTGCAGGAGGAAGCTCAGGGAGAGTCACGTCCAGACCTTGTAGGGGCATCTTCACCTGGGCTGGACACTCACCCACCCAAAGGCGTCCCCCAGCCGGCCATCACAGCCTCAGGCGTTGGCAGCCTGTCTAGGCCACGAAACACACCCTGGGAGGGACACGGCCTTGCCCTCCTGCCCACAGACGGATGTGAGTCGTCAGCAGTGACCCCAGGGCCCGTGTGCACTGCTGGGTGAAGGCTGTTTGAGGGGAGGGTCAGTGAGGGACCCTGCGGGGGACGAGGACTTCTGAGAAAGCCAGCTCCACACAAAGGGCACCTGCCACGTGGGAGGTGTGGCCCTGGGGCCCCCGTGCTGTCCTCGTTCCTGTCACTGTGTGGACGAGCACATCCTGTTAGGCTCAGAGCTGCCCAGTAGAACCCGGGACAAGAGCTATGTGGCCCGTGAGCACTGTCACCTCACCACCGCGGCCACTATCACATGTGGTCACTGCGGGAAAGGTGGTCCTGGCAGCAAGGTTTCGTGAGGACGGCCTGCGCCCTGCAGCATACAGGCGAGCTGCACACAGGCGTGGGCCGCTCGCTCGCTCTCCAGACGCTGCTGGCCTCTCACGCACCTGTGCGTCCTCGTACGCAGCTTCCAGACTCGGGCTGTCGGTGTCAGGAACTGCACCCGGGATGAGGGCCTCACGTCCTCCCATGGGGAGGAGAAGAGCTCAGGGATGGTGCCAGGTCCTGTCC